AAGCAACCATAGTACTTCAGACTGACAGACACGTTGGGGCATCGATAGTTCTTTTTCATCACTAACCAGTATTCCATGATGTGCTTGTGCCACAGTTTGTTGATCCATCACCTCTTGAGGAATAGTAGAGCCCTGGTAGCGCAGGGCTTAAGTACTCAGTTGCTAACCAGAAGGTTGGCAGTTTGAACCCACTAGCCGCTTCCTGAGAGAAAGATGTGGCAGTCTGTTTCTGCAAAGATGACAGCCTTGGAAACCGTATGAGGCAGTTCTCTGTCCTACGGGGTCACTTTGAGTCTCAGTCTACTTGACAGCAGTGCATTATGAGTGACAGCAGACTGGTTTGCTTCTAGATTTTGTCTGTTTGAAATAAAGCTACTGTGAACAGTCGTGTGCAGGTTTTTACGTGGACATCCATCGTTAACTTCTTTGCTGTTAAATACCCAGGAGCGCAAATGCTGGGCCATATGGAAAGGGCATGTTTAACTTTGTAAGAAACTACCAAACGCTTTCCAGAATTGACCATTTCACGCTCGCATCACCAGTGTATAAGAGGTGCTTGCCAGCATTGTCGCTTTCTTATTCCAGGTGTTCTTATAGCTTGTGGCGATAGTAAGTTTCTTTCCATCACAACTGGTGATGTTAAAACTTCTTTCTTTGCAAGTGTGTTTTGTTTTGCCATCTGTGTACACTCTCGGGAGCTCTGGTGGAGCAACTGTTAAAGCGTTCAATAGCTAATCAAAAGGTCAGCAGTTCAAACCCACTAGCTGCTCCTAGTGGGAGGAAGATGAGGCAGTCTGCTTGAGTCAAGATTCACATCCTTAGAAGCAAGATGGGGCAGTTCTGTGTCCTGTGGGGTCACTGTGAGTCAGAAGGGACTCGATGCAGGGAGTTTTGGGGGTATATATATTCTCAGTGAAATGTCTAATTGTTTCTTTTGTTCCTTTTTTAATTAGGTTTGTTTTAACAGCTAGGTTCTGAGTTGTCTATTGTAGATATGAGTCCTGTAGTCAGAGACATGGTTTGCAAATACTGTCTTGCAGCCTGTAGCTTGTCTGTTCATCCTCTTACCAGGGTCTCTTGCAGAATACAAGTTTTGAATTTTGATGATGTCTTTTTTTTTTTCTAATTTTACTTTTCATGCCACGTCTGAGAACTCTTTATCAAACCCTAGATTCCAGAGATTTTCATCTAAAAGTTTTATAGTTTTATATTCCACATTTAAATCTCTGGTCCATTCTAAGAACAAGGAATCAAATGAAGGTTGAGGTTCATTTATTTGGCCTGTGGGTATTAAGTTGCTTCCACACAATTCTTTGAAATGGCTGACCTTCCTCAATTGAATTGCTTTTGCACCTTTGTCAAAAATTAGTTGGCCATAGTTCCACTGGTCTATTTCTGGATTCTCCGTCCCTTCCATTGATCTGTGTGTCTTTCTCCACTAACACTACACACTTTTGATTATACTAGCTATAGAATAAATTGTGAAATGGGGTTGAATGATTCCCCTCAGTTGACTTTTTTTCAGGATTGTTTTAAGTATTCTAGTTCCTTTGCCTTTCCATATGCATTTTTGAATAATCTGACTTGTATCTAGAAGAAAAAATATTCTGAGATTTTGGTAGGATTTATATTAAGCCAGTCTATGCATTTGGGGAGAAGTGACATGTTTTGTTGATTCATTCACAGTCTACCATTCAGTTACAGTCATGGTTATGTGCATCAGAAAACTACCAGTTGTCCTCCCATCCCCTAATCCTCACTAGCCCTAAGCAGCCACTGATCTACCATCAATCCCTATAGATTTGCCTACTATGGACGTTTCATATGGATGGAATCATACTATCAACCAAAGCCACAGCCGTTGAGTCAATCCAACCCATAGCGTTTCTAAGGCCATAAATCTTTGTAGAAGCGGACTGCCTCATCTTTCTCTTGCAGAGCAGCTGTTGAGTTCAAACCACCAACCGACCTTCCAATTAGTAGCTGAGCATTTAACTACTGTGCTAATCATACAGCATGTATTTTGTTTTTGATGGGCTTTTTTAACTTAGCATGTCCTCATTGTTTGTTCATGCATGCTGTAGTGTGTGCCAGTACTTTGTTCCTTTTTGTGGCTGTTTTTCTTTTACTTCCATCCATGTTTCTTCCGTGAACATTTTTTAGAATTTTCTTTTTATTTATAGTATTTTTGAGTTTATCTTTTCGTGAAGCTTTTTTAGTGGTTGCCCTTAATCTTTATTATCTGTCTCTTTACAGAAGAAGGTTGATTCAGGTCTAGACTGAGGAAAGTGAGGGAGAGGGGAAAAGTTAATGATGCAGATTAAATGTAAAAGTAGGTCATGTCTGTAGCTATAACATTTTGACTAACACAGAACATTGAGGAAATAAATGGTCATCAGGTATTTGGGACTCCTCTGGTTCAGAAAAGACATATCATTGATAAACAAGTGAAGCTACAACATATAACTTCTCTGTTTCAGTTTTTCTTTGTTTTCTCTTTGACATAAATGAAAATACCATTCAGTATTCATGTTACAACAGCACTCCTTCATCAGTTGCAACCATAGGTTGGCTATAGATAGGAATTTGACGAAAAACAGCTAACACATTTTGTGAGGATCAATTTGCTATGTGGAATTTACAATAAAGTATTATAGATTTTATTTGTGAAATTATGTACTACCCATCCTCTACTAGTAATATTTATAATAAACATAAATACATATATATGTATATTGTTAGAAACAAAGATAATAAGGCAATAATAAACATGGATTGAAGTGTATTTAATACATGATTTGGAATCGGAGCAACTTTTTCAACCAGATAGTCAAAAATGTCCCAAAGAAGAAAACTCTTTCACAGATTGTAATACTTCAATTTTTCACTAGTAATTATAAGTTGCTGTGGACACAGAGCCAGAATAGT